TTGAGATGAAAAGGAGGGTGTAAATGTGTCGGCATGCATCCTTATGACTGTTTGTGTGTGTGTGTGTGCGTGCGTGTGTGTGAGAAGAGAGAGTGTTTTGTCGGTAAAGTAGAGCGTCTTTGAACACTCCCTCCCACACTCACACACACACACACACACACACATGGATGACAGGTGCTCTCAAGTGCTAACACTTTAAGAATGCTAAATGACGGCAACAAAAAAGAGTGAGAGAATGAGGGAGGGGAGAAAGTGAGGGAGGACCAAGTGATGCTTGCTCAGTCATTTTGCTCACACAGATACGTCTAGTTTTGCCATGACTATGCTGGAAAGAAACCAGAGAATTAAAAACACGATACGATTTTTCATTCCTCTGGAATATAACGCTTGATGTGCTTTGGCGCCCCCTTTCTGGTACCAAGCGTGAAATTGCAAAAATGAAAAAAGTCTTCCTCTACTAGCTTGTCCAGAATCTAGTGAGCTATGTCTTAAATTTCCATTCATTAGTGCACTGAACAGCAGTTTAAAGCAAACTAAAAAACTAAACCAGTGCCTCATCTATCTAAACTTTAAGCAGAGTTATAGGGTAATATAATTTTCGAGGTGCTCAAGTTTCCAGTGTCCAAATAGCTGCTTTCATCCAGACTGACACAAGTTAGACATTTACATTGTAGCAATCAAATCCTCAAAACGGCAGATGCTTAGCATATTTTGCTTTTTATTAGCTTCGATTGAGAATCAACAAAATAATTAAGTGCGTCCTAGGGGCCAAAATTTGAGCTTGATATGTTACAGAAAATAACCAACCAGCTTAAATACATGGGATGGTTATCACTAGTTTTGTACATAACGAGGATTCACCGCGGCCGCTTCCTCCTGTTTTACCTTTTGGCCTTTTAGCTGAGTTTCAGTTTAACGAAAATTAGTCAGAGGGATTGTGGTTCTTCTAGGTTTTACTCAGCAAATGACATTATATCTAACTTCGTTTGCGCGCTACAGCAACAGTCAAATCTTGTACTCATTTTAGGAAGCTTATCAGACCGTTAAGAAGAAAAAAAAAAAAACTCTGTGGCCCCGAGAAAAAAAAAAAAAAAAAGCCAAGTAAAAGTCACCGGCTGGTCAGTAAAAGCATATGAGGATTAAACGACCACGGAAGCTAATTAAAGATAACATAAATAGTATTTACACAATGTGCTGGTATGGGGGAAGGAGGGCAAGTGTAAAGATTGAGGAGGGTGGGGGTGGGGGGGGGGAACCCTGCTGCCTGAGTCCCCCAGGTCATGCGCATTTTTCCCTGGGTACTGGAGTCACTGTGGCTGGGTGTGCTGGTTCCTCTGCCACCGTAACACTGCTATTAGCCTGCAGTCACACCTGGAATTCCCTCAGCTCCCACTCTGGCCTTTTGTTTTCCTCTGAGCTCACCGTCTCTTTGATCAGCTCAGCCAGACTCGAAGAAGCGCAGTTAGTCTGCCGTGTCATTAATATGTATGCGTGTTGATTTTTTTTTTTTTTGTGTTATGTGGCTGATCAACAATTGCCTCGGGTTGGGATTAGGTGCAAAGTGGACACTGTGAGTTTGTGAAAAAGAACCAAGGAAAAAAAAAAAGGTTTCCCCTGTAAGAAGGAATATTTGTTAGCTTAGATAATACATTTCTTTGTGGTTAAACAGGAACGTTTTGCCGTCCGTGTCATAAAAAGGTCAATGAAGCACAGAGTCAGGCAAACACTCTCTGTCTTTATTGAGGCTACGCAATGTTTGAGTGTGTGTGCGTGTGTACGTCCGTGCGAGTGTGTGTGCGTGAGCTTTTATGTTAAAAGCGGGTCTTTAAGTGTGTAAGACTGTGGCATTAGGGGCCATATCCCCCTGTGTGTAATTACACTGTCACTGGCACACACACACAAAATACAGCGATGGCACTGACAGAGATGAAAGGTTGTTGGTCTTGTACTCTTGTGTGTGTGAGATAATAACAGGCTAATGCTGAAAGAGGAAGGAGACATAGCTATACTCAAAAACACTGTTAGGCTTTAAGAGCGGCGACAGGACATGCTCAAGACAAACACACACGTGCACACGCTGCCTATTGGTTTCTTGTTTTTTAACACAGGCCTCTGCCGTGGGCGTCAATGAAACCGAGTTCTTACGTAAAATCTTATTTGTGCTTTGTCTGACAGCTTGACTCTGGACTAAAAAGAAGGCGCTCGGATTTCCTTTGGTGCGTCTAATCGGCCTGAGTGAGAACAAAAGGGCGGAACGTGAACTTACTAAGTTTCTCCATCATCAGCTCTCCTGACGGCGGGTATCTCAGGCGTCGGGCAAAGTCGTGGCAGTACCACACGAGCAGCTCTGCGCCAGCAGGGACGGGCTTCACAGTGTAGAAATAAATCTCCATGCCGTTCTGACAGGCCGCTAGGTTCTGTTCGGCAGCGGAGTGGGCCGGGTTCACGTAGCGCATCCAGTTAGAGCGAGTCTCATCCAGGCCGTCGACAAAGTGGTGAAACTCCCCGTCCGCATAGATCTAGAATGAAGGGGACGACATTTGTTAGATTAGAATTTTTTTTTACTGTTGTGTGTCTCATTTTTCTTCATTTCAGCCTCTTTTTAGAGCAAAGCACTAAAAATGTAAAGTTTTTTAAAATACTTGGAAAAGAAGCTGACATTATCTGCAACTACACTTTTTTTTTCTGATGGTCCGCATCTGAGGGGATTGTTTTTGTAACTTATTTTTGTTAAAAGCAGATACTTTGTTTTAACCACGTCAGATCCAACTATTCCCAAAGTGCTGGGTGAAATAAAGAAATCCATATGAAATTCAAGTTGGAGTCTCAGAAGGTCAAAGCCTGGGTAAAAAACACTAGACTCAATGTTTTAAATAATTATCAAAAAGAAACATAAAGCTGTAAACTAATATACATTTAACTGAATGAATGTCCAAAGGTGAAACAAAGAAATAAAGAGGAACTGATGAAAACACGTGGAATCAACAGCCAAATACAAATCACTCATCAATTAAAAAACACACTAACATAAGTTTCAGTCAGAAAAAGCAAAATAATCTACAGACTTTATATTGCTAAAAAAAATCCAAATATCTTCTTTAAACTTTTTTCTCATCCCTTCATCTTTTCAGTTCTTACCTCTCATCTACATTGCCTTCATCTCTTTCAGCCAGACAAAAAAAAGACAGATCTGACTGCTTTATATTGAAAAGAGAAGGGACGGACCGAGTCATTTTTCTACCTCTCCTCCCCCTTTCGGAGCCTTTCGTTCATCCTTCCTCTATCTAAGCCTTCTGTTTCTCTTGCCTGATTATATGTGAGCGAAAGTGAGATGATCATGAATGGAACACGCTTGTGATTTAGTGTCTGCCTGTGGTTACTCTTTGGAAGTCAAACCCACGGCACACACACACACACACACACTTACACATGCGATCATGCACGCTTTGGTCTGGGTAGGTGTGAGCGTGTGTGTGTACTCTCACTGTCAGTTACCGGTAGTGATGAGGTTTGTTCTGTCTAACTGTGTGCGAGTGTGCGCGGACTTACAGGAACCTAAGTGTGACATTTTATTTGCGTGAAGATGACATCACCCCCCCCCCCCCCCCCCCCCATCTCTTTTCCTTCTACACTCACACACACAAACATCAAGCTCAGCTTCCTGTTCCACTGACTGACTTTAGACGTTCGTGACATCACAGGAAGGGGTCCCTCCGGCTTCTGAGGAAGCGTGTGTGTGTCTTTGTGTGTGCTTTCATTGTGTACTCACCCTCCAGAAGTACTTCCGGTTGGCGTCTTTGGGGACGCTGTCGGCGGTGTAGATCTCCCCTACCAGGGGACCGAACCGTGTCCCTTTGGGGATGTACTCCCTGCTGCACACACCGACTACCTACACGAACACACACACACACACACACAGTTTAAAAACTTTGCAGCCTAAGCAGAGTTTTAGCATACAAGACAATTACTTGATATTCTTTTCCTGACCTGTGGTGCACGTCCAACAGCGAAATGTGTAATTAAATCTCATCAAGTCCTATTTGAAACACAGACACACTGTCAACCAGCTGTCAGCTCAGATGATGATTAATGGACGAGCGCTACACTCCACTTCATTTCAAGCCCTGTCCCCATTCAGCCCATGCGAAGTGTAAAAATCTCTTCTCTCGTCACACCTTCACCAGTCGCCACATCAAACCAAAACCACTGCCACTTCAGAGGCTTTGGGAGGTACTCCGAAAAAAGAAAAAAAAAAGCTTCAGTTTCTTCTTTTTTCAGTTCACATGTGATTCAATCAATGAACACAGACGGAGAAAAGAAGACAAAAGTAAAGCGAGGGGATTATGCGGTGACTAGACACCAGCCATGGATCGAAAGGAAACAAACACTCATACGCATTTTCTCCATGCTGAACCCACGCAAACAGAAGCCTTTCCCAAACCCCCCCTGTTCCCTGGTGACACGGGAAATCCCCCTTTCCTCTTTTTTCCTCCATAAGATCAGACATAAGGCAGATTAAGAGTGTTTGCTCGCAAGTTTCGGGACTTATTGTCGGCCCCTCTTCCCCTGAACTGAACTGGATTTCTTTGATCAGCTTCTAGGTGCTTCCTTTCCTGGTCACAGTAAATATTAGCTGATAGTAAATCAACTCGCAAACAGAACGCACTCTCCTCCTTTCTCACTCAGCCTCTTGCTCCAGGCTCCTATTGACGAGCCTCTGATGAGAAAATCTATGCGATCACGCTGTTTGACTGACAAATTCACCGTGTCCACACTGACAAAGCTTCAACCTCCTGACCCCCAGTCATGCTCTTTTTCCAGGTCCGAAATGCCCTGAATGCACGCATCAGGCCTTTGATGCTGTTTATCAAATATATTGGGAGTCACATCCTTGGGAAGACTTCTCCAGATAGAAATGAAAAGCAAATCCTTTCAGAAGCCTTTATTTCGACCTATCTCATTCTCAAAGTGTCATTTTGATTCGGTGCACTATCTGTTATCCAACCCCAATTTCAACCTTTGACTTTTGACTTTTTCACACCTCGTCAGATCAATGACAAAAACGTTATCCTTACACAACATTGTGTCAGATTGTGAGTTAAGGAAGCTTTATTGAGCATCTGGATCAGGTAAACTAGATTGATTCATGTCCAATTAAAAAAGAAATGAGTCAGAGGTTCAAGTGGAAATGCAGTTTTTTAGTCAGGAACATAAAACTAAGGAGACTTAGAGAGTTTGAATCCTGGTCTGCCTAGGTGCTGAAGTGCGCCCCCTGCCTGCTAGCTTTGGTATTTTCAGGTTTGATGTAAGTGATGCAGAGAACATGACACACAGCACAGCAGGGTCGAGCCGCCATAATCTTCTCAGATTAAAACATGAGTCTTCACAGATGGATTCTATCTGATGTAACTTTATCGTAAGCGGCTCCGTGTGCACATTTCGCCTCCTAGCATTTTATACACCGGCAGGCCGTCGCATTCCTTTGCGTGTGTGTATGTGTCTGTGTGTGAAATTTTTACGAGACAGGACCCCCTCTTTATTATATGACCCACATCTGACTCATTTTGTGTGTGTGTGTGTGTGTGTGTGTTGCGCGTACAGATGGCTTTTCTCTGTCTGTGAGTGTGTAAAACGTGACTACAGAGAAAGTTTTTTCCCTGTCTGCCGGCGTGTTTTTTGCGGGTGCCGGTCTCACCTCCTTGCTGCCGGCCAGGTGTTTGAAGGTTAGGTTTCGGGGCAGCGAGGCCTCGGCCCTGGTCGTCGTCATGGCAGCATCACCGTCTGACCCCGCCTCCCACGCCGTGTCTTTGACGATGTACGTGCACTTCTCCTCGAACTCTGTCTCTGTCCAATGCGTCATGTCTGCCTCCTCCATCTCCACGTCCACGTCGGTGTCGGTCATGGTTTCGGCTCCGTCCGAGCCCACGCCGGTGGCCGTGTAGTCCATCTTGGCCTTGTGCTGTGCGTCGTCCTGCTCCATGGTGTGCGCCCCCTCACTGGTCAACATGGCCGAGCTTTGAGAGGTCGCCTGGTTGAGAAAACACAGGTAACAGTCTTTCAGTCCATGATTTAAAAAAAAATTAAAAAACAAAATCCAAACATTTACATAAATGAATAATCAGAAAGAGAAAAAACATTCTAGAGAAATGAATATTACAAGAAAGGAAAGATTGAGATATGGAAGAGAAGTTGGAAAGAAGAGTAAAGAGAAAAAAAGAAAAGGCAGTTAAATAACGGCCCTTAAAATAAACCAGATACCATGATGGAAAACGGTAGAAAAATGAGAAAAAAAGAAAAGAAAAAAAGAAGATAAGAGCGAGGTAAAAGCAGCAAGAAACAAACAGGAGGAGTGGTCGAAAACAGATAGCAAAACTAGGGGAAAAAAAAGGATGTGGGAGTAAAAAGATAAGATATGAAAAAAGGATAAAAAAGAAAAAGATTGAGACGAAACCAGATACAATGCTGTGATGAGATGAGGAAAGACAGAAAAGATGTCTATGTTTATTATGAGTCACTCAGAAACTGTGGCGTCTGACTAATACTCGTCGCACACAAACATACACTTGAATGTACTTACACACAATCGCATACAGAAAATGTCTTTATCAACCCTATTTAGACTTACTATTAACTCATTTGGGAAACAATAAGAGGATTTGCTCAGTTGTGACTCCAATTACCTTTTTCTTTTTGTTTTTTGCAATGTTTAGGTGTAGCCGTTAATTGAGCTGATCGATTTTATCTCTCTCTTCTATTTGTAAAGAGACTAAAAGGTAAGATTTAGGGAGATAAGAACCTCCAATCAAGCACAATGATTAAGGACAAAACAGATAGAGGAATGACAGTTTAGAAAAACCTCCTAAACCCTTAACTGACTTTTTAAAAAATTGTATTCTCCCATCTAATTCCTATAGCTTTGGTTTTGAAAAGTTTTAAAGATAGCACAAGTTAAAACCACACATCTGTTGATCTGCCCATTTCACGTGCATTACTTCCTCCTTTAATGTCCTCCTTTGTTTGTTGGTTATCGTGCATATATCTAATATCTATTCCAAATCATTGCAGATTTCCACGGACTATTCGGACATAATATTTCCCATGTTTCCTCCCCCTTTCTCCCCCTCCTCCCTGTTGCTCCCTGGGGTTGAAGACAGAGGAAGGAAATGCTGTCTGTGTCTGAATGAGGCTAAAATTGGAAGCAGCGGAACCGGCAAATCATCCCAATTCCCTGCTTGTGTGTGCTTGTGTGTGTGTGTGTTGGTAATGAACAAGGAGAGTCATGAGGAAGGGAGCGTCAAAACTTTTCCATTTGGGGGGCCATCGCAGCGCAAACAAAACTTCAAACGTGATCCCACCCAAGACAATCCCCCACACACACACACACACTCACACACACACACAGGCAGGCAGATATCCACACAGGGACAAACATACTGCTGGTCCCACGCAGACAAACGCAAAGCAGCAGATCCTCAGTGACCACACTCAACTCTGCAAATTCTTCTGAAGCCACAAGAAAGAAAATTATTTCACATCCAACTGACTCCAGTCACAACTGAGTTTTTTTCTCATAAAATCAGCTCACAGAGAAAGAAGAAACTTCCACTCTGGTTCCGAACTAAGAGGAAAAAATTACTTTTTCATGCTGAAATCTCCTCCTTGACATGCTTCATCATAAACTTTAAGGAATAATGTAATCCTTTTTCACAAATAACGCGTCTCACAGAATAACAGCATATATTAAAACAGGTGATCCAAGTTACTTTGAACATTTCTATAGATTGACCCTGAAAGTTAAAAGGAGCAAAAACACGTATTCAAAATTACACTCATAATAATTTGAGTTTTTTTTAAATTTCCTGTAAGAACAATCAGTGCCTGTCTCACATCTCTGAACAACAACAGTTTCTGCCCCATTTGCCATTTAAATCTAACGCCTTAAAGGGTGATCACATATGAAAACCCTTCTCAATATTTCTGTTCTGAGAAAAACTCAGCTTTGCATAACAGCTGCAACAATGAAAACTAATAGTGAAACCAAGAACCAAGAAACAATTTATCTCTCCTGTATTTAGACCAACTGAAAACAATAAAGCTGAGTCTGCAGAAAGTCAAATTTAATTTCAGCGAAACATGTCAAGATGAAGCTCCCCTCCTCATGATTGAAAAAAAAGGAAACTCCATGTTTGTAAGAACTTATATTTAAGTTTATATTTAAGTTTTCCCACTAAAAAAAGTTGATCCAAACTCATCCCAACTCATTTAAATAACATAAAAAACAGCAAAAGACAGCAAATAAAAGCAACCAAAAAGGAGCAGAAATCCATAGCGGAAGCCAATAAAAAATTTAAAAAATAAATGTAAAAAATTACTCTTATCCTCAAATTAAAAAACAAGTAAAAATTATTTGGCGAAAAAAAGTCTTCAGACTCCAGATGAACAGTCACACATAGACTTTACAACAACAACAACAAAAGTTTTAATTTAGTAATAAACTGAAAACAATGGCAAAATCTGAGACTTTTTCTTTTTCCCCTAAAAAATGGTTGTCAAGAGTTGATCAAGAGCTGATCTGTACTCACCGTGTGACTTTGGTCCCATCCACACATAGGGGCGACCAGTGGGATCCCCTCTGTGTACGAGTGTGAGGACGGAGAGTGTGTGCAGGACAGGTGCAGTTCTCCCCCCTCTGTCCTTCTGGCTCCCAGCGCTGATACTCCACAACCAGCGGAACTGTTTGTGTGTGAGCACTGAAGTGTGTGTGTGCGTGAGTGAGTGCAGGAGGGTGGAAGTGACCCACTTGGAGTCCTGTTTTCAAATGCCTGACAAAATCAACATGTCTCTCACTTTGTCTCTCTCTTCCTCTAAACCACACCCCAGAACTTATGTGCCCTCCTCCTTGGCCCGCCCCCTTCTTACAAACACCTACACACAGAAAAACACACACACACACACACACACACACAAGAGGGAGCAGCAGGCGCTTTCACCTGAGGCCATGAGTTACACACAGTCACACACACGCGCTGACACACACGCGCACACACACTGAAAACCACCTTTATTCTGACTGAAAATAAAACAAATATTTCTAATTGATAGTCCCATTGTGTGTGCCAGTGTTTGTGTGTCTCTGTGGACATGTCTGGTCACATCTTCAAAAAGTAAACAAAAACATCATCCGAATGCACGTGTGTATGTGTGCATGTGTGTGTGTGCGTGCTGGTTTGGGAGGGAAGCACTGAGTCACTGTCACAGGATGTAACTCTCTTCCACAGGATAACACACACTCACAAACAACACGGACTCACACACCTATACACTGCTCTCTCTCTCTCTCTCTCTCTCAAACACACACACACAATCAAACACACAGATGTACACCGCCTGTAGGGGGCAGGACTGATCTGCTCTTGTTACTTTTGAAGAGCGACACACTCTAACCGTCCTATTTCGTCTAACTCTCTCATCCTTTCATTGTTGCTGCCTTCTCTTTCATATAACAGCTTTGCCTCCGTCCTCCACTTTCTCACAGCCCCTTCCCTCTTGCTCTCCTCTTTACAGGACATTTGGATTTCCTGCCTTTTTAAAAACGAACAATTTGCTGTGTTTGATTGGTAAAAGACAGAAAAACAAGTGTGAGGAGAACTTTTTAAATGTATTTTTATTTGGCCAGGGCTGCTATAGACAGTCAAAATGGTAACTTTCCTTTTGATTGTGGTGAACCTGTATGGGGAAAAGCATGTGGAGAAAACGATAAATAAAAATGTTTAAAATCAACAACTTTATGAACATTTGGAGGATAGAAACACTCATGAATTGATTCTGATCAACCGAAGACTCAAACAACGTGAGTCCCAACAATGTTAGATTCCCTTCTTTTTTCACAAAAGTAAATTCAGTTAGCATACAGTACACTAGTTGCGTTTTCAAACAAGGAACCCAAAGCTTTTGCCACTCGCACCAGCCTGTGCATGCAGATGCCACCAGACTTAAAAAGGAAAAAGAAGCTTGAGTCCAGATGTGTTCTAAGTGTTTTTTCTAACCCTCAGCCTCCTCTGCCTACACAACTATCAGGGCAACAGACAGCACAGCCCATATGCTGCAGATTTGAAATCTGCAGGTGAAATATTGTGACTAGAATGAGTGTGTGACAATGAGTGTATCTCAGGAGTAAAGAGACATTTCCAAGAAGAAGTAAGCTCCACGCCAGTGAGGTGAGGACTAACTAGCTTTTAGCCCTTAAAGCTAACACTGGAGGATTCTGATGAACATGTTGTCAATGAAAACTTTTCCTCAAAGTATTAACAGACCCTAATATGACATTTATTTGTACATATAATCATCAATAAGATTCTGCAAAGTTTGAATAAATCGGCTAATCATGTCAGAGCCTGGAGATCTTCAGATGACAGACTTTAGATTGAAGAATACAGAAGAGCCAGTTCCTCTCCTACAGACACAACCGTTAACTCCGCTAATGCTGTGGCATTTCTTACACATTCAGGTTGCAAAATCACAAAGATGATCTTGAATATTTAATTTGAAATATATATATGTGAAGATTCTCTGTGTTTCAGTATCTCCGATTTCTCAGAAGATTCTCAGTCATCCAGGACTTTGAGTTAAGTGTCGTAAAACACCGGGACTGTGGAGTTATATGAGCGTTAACCTTAGTCGGCTGGATTCGTGTGGAAAACTACGCGTTTCGTTCATTTTCCAGTTTTAGCCATCCCTGCTTTTCGATTTAATTTGGGGGGAGTCCTTTCTTTAACATGCTTCTGCACTGCATGTGTAATTCGTTGAACCGTAAATGGTGAGTTCAACTTTTTACTGCTCCTGCTTTACACACGATGCTGTTTCACATAGATTTGTGTCATGAAGGACTTTTCCAGGGAAGTCGTTTAGCGCTTCTTACTATGTTGGAATTCCTTGTTAAGTGACCAACGGGGGACGATTAGTGTGTGTCATGTCCACATTGGGGTTTTGTCCTTCTTGTCCTTCCATTTTACGTCTTATCTTACATTCTTTCTCAATAATGTGTACAGACGCATGCACACAAAACTCAACTCTCTCACTCACTCTATTATAACAAAAGCTCACCCTCTTGCTAACACTGGAAATTCCCGTCTAATTGCCTCTCTGACTCCCTTAATTTACCTCCTACTCACTCACCTCCATCATCTCCCCCTACCACCCTCTTTGGCTTTGATTTCCACGTTTTATTTACAAAAATGATTTGCCACACTGACCCCTCACTCTGCTTTTTCCGTCGCTTTTCGTTCAGTCTCTTTCTCTTTTTTCTTTCCGAAGATAAATCACTTCAGGAAAACTGTAATGTTTTCTTGATGGGGCGCATTTACGTTTGATCAGTTCTTTTCCTAGAATTAAAAAAATGAATGTAGTCAAGACGAGCCGAAGAGACTGGAGGAAGTAAATTCCTACACAACTGTAAAAAAAGGACATAAATGAGTACATGAACACTCAAAGTCATGCCTGCAGCTAAATTTGTGGTTTCTGATCTCTCGTTGGACATTATGTACACAGCACATCGATAAAGTGTTTATTATTTCAAAAACCTTTTGCTTATTTAAAGAAAATCCGTTTGGGGGCAGAGTTTGCTTTCATGTTTGGTAAATCCCAGCTTCCTGTAACTTTAAGATCTATCCTGAAACAAAGATTGGTCGCAAAGAAACAAACAAAAAAAGCCTCATTTTAATATTGTTTGTCACAGTTGCAAAGCTGTGTCAGGCCGAAAGAAACAGACTGCCGGCCTCACATCCACGTCCTCATCAGTGTCGACCCTTTGGAGAGCAATGTTGTTTGTGTTTTTTTTTTTTCTTTCTGAAATGAAGAACGATGATCAGTGAAAGAAAACAAGCAACAGGAAGAGGACGAAGAGAGAGAGAGAGAGAGAGACACTGGACCTCTGGCTCTCTCTCTCTGGTGACAGAGGGTCTGACCACATCACTCGCTGCCTACTGCTTCCTGCCAACGGACGACCCCAATACACACCCAAACACACACACACACACACACACACACACACACACACAGCTGCAGATCTGTCCCACAGCTGTCGGACATGTTGATGCTCGACAACCCAGCGCTAAACAACCAGAGACAGAAAGAGAGAGCTTCCAAATGACTTGCAGACACCGTGTAGAAACTACAAGTTTAGAAAAAAAAAAAAGCAAAAATTCTTTCCTCTTTTTGACGTTGCGGCAATTTTCAATACCAAACCGATGTAATGTTTCTCTGTCTTTAAGTGTGTGCGCAGCTTTGGGGTGTCTGCGATCGATGGGGTGGAGTGTGTAAGGGTAACAGCTCTTAAGACACAGTGAAAAGCGTTTTTTTTTTCTTTCTCTGCATTGGCCGTGAATTGCATACCTGGAGGGAGAGAGAAGAGGCACAAAAGAGTTCCCAAAGACCTCCTGGGTCTTTGTTAGTTTAACAGAGGGCCTCTATCTTATACAAAAACACACAAGAGAGCAAGGATGGGGAACATCTTTTTTTAATGTAAACTTTCTGCTCCATCTGCAACTTAAAATTGGCTAGTTCTGATGAAATCACTGTCTATTAGGGCTCTTAAGTGATGACCCGTGAGGGGCAGAGGAGAAAAGAGGATAGAGAAGAGGTGAAAGGAGGACGTGAAAGGGCCTCAGGTGCCTCAGGTGGGATTAACACCCTCACATTCCTGAAGAGGAGAGCAGATTCTCTTTGTGCACTTACAGTGGAGATCTGGCTCGACCCAAAAGTGTTAAGTCAATTAGTCCAAGGGCCTTCCACGGTTTTCACACCAGCATCGGGGTGGTTCAACATCTACATCCATGTTGTGCGGAAACAGGAAAATGAAATCACCCCCCCATGCGCATATTTACCAATTGTCACATTCATTATTTTTTTAGATTGTGGCTTTGGGTGCACGTTTGATTTGCCCAATAAAACAATATTACTGTTTTTTATTTTACTTTTAACCAAATTTCATAATGAAGGTGGCAAAGCCAAACTTCACATCACAAAATATGATTAAATGACATCTGGTGTTGAAGCATTTTTCATAATCAACCACTGAACAAACAGCAGGTGTAATTCAACATTCTTCCTCCATTCAGAGACATTACAGAGGAAGCCACACCGTATTCTTTAGCGTTTGTTTGCATGATGTGCCTCTGTAACGGGACACTGACCCGTATAAGGTCTTTTATTTGAATGTTTTTGTTCCCCTGTCTCTCTCGAACAACAGATCTAGATCTCAGCAAGACGGCCTGGTTTGATAACAGTGAAAATACAGAAAGGTCACAATGTCTCATTTCGATGTATATACTTCACACTGGTGTGAAAGTAGATGAAGTGTCAGTCAGAGAGACAATGGTCCATACAAAGAACACTGAAAAGGAGAATAAAGTCAATATATTTGAAGAGCTAAATCTTTCAATCGTCATGTAAATAAGGTCATGAAATGAACACTTCCTGTCAGGATGCTGACAATTACAGAGAATTCCCCTCAGATTGATCTTGTGTTCAAGCCAATTATTCTCCTTAAGGATTCAATTACCTGTTGTAATATTTGTCGATGGCTTCTAATATTTATGACTTTTATCAAATGGAAGACTCTGGGCAAAAGCCCTTTGGCTACATTTGAGTTTGTTCCTGTTTTCATTATGTTTTTTATTCAGCCAGCAAAATATCTTAAGTCCCATTTCTGTTGAGGGAGAAATTTACAGTTAGAAAAACCACGCAGGCTATAAGAGTTGATCCCATTTGCAGCGCTGCTAAGTGTTAAACACTTTCTCTCTGCTCCTCTTTCTCCCTGCGCCTTCCCGTCTTCCCCC